GGCGCCAGGCATGTATAGAGAAAGAAAACACAGTTGTTTATTACTTAAAACTAGTGACTATATTCATTTATGATGTATCCTGATGGTAAAAAGCATTGTACAATTTTAATAATTATTGTAGTGGTTATATGTCGAGTAAAGCTATGTATGTAAATAATATTAAATATGTTCTTAACAATCTAACCACTAAACAGAATCCGTACGATATTACTTAAGATGTACGTTATTGTTTAAGACTGAAAATATAGAAAATCTAAAACATAAAAACTACAACGTAAATCTACACTTAGCTGTTCTTTATGTAATCTTGCTTCAAACAGTAGCAGCGTGAGGTGGTCTCGCATCTCTGTACTGTCTGTTGGCGATCCTGTTGGCCAAAACAACAAAAGGGGCCAGAATGAGGACACCATGAATCAATATAGCCGTAGCTACTGACCAGGCTTAGAAATGGGAGCGAAGCAGCATAGGGCTTACACTGTATCCATACTGTGGCAATATGGGGACACTACCCGTACCTTGGAACACTACTAGGACCTTGGATAATGTCCGTAACTTGGACCATAACCTTGGACACAGCTCGTCCATAAGATAACGGTACAGGGGAACACTACCCGTACCTTGGAACACTACTAGAACCTTGGATAATGTCCGTAACCTCGACCATAACCTTGGACCATAACCTCGGACACAGTCCGTCCATAAGACAACGGTATAGGGGAACACTACCCGTATCTTGGATACTACTAGGACCTTGGATAATGCCCGTACCTAGTAAATAGTCCGTACCTTGGACGCTAAAAATATGAAACTCTTGTTTAAAACCAAACAAGGTCTAATAAACAAAATAAACCTACCTCGAATTACTTCCGAGGGCTCAATAATAAACAAAGAAACTGTCCTTTCTTCCATGTAACATTCTGGAGGACAAAAGAAAAGGGACGCCAACGTGCCAGCAAAATACAAATACAAGTTAAGTTGGGACATCCAAAACTCTACCCTAAAAATATGCAGTAATAATATCGAATCTAAAAGGATAATATCTCACCTTTATCTGTTGGTTTGAAATAGCAGCTGATTCAAATTATACAGCAAGATTTAAATAATCACCATTTCTAAAAGCCGGGATACAACAGAGCGGCAAAACAAAGTGAGGTTAAGCACGGAGAGATTTGACAGAAGCGATGTTGACAGCGCCTCCTCAGAGCGATAACAGGGTTGTGTCAAACGATAACAAGGTTGGCGACTAGGGAACGTAAAAATTACGCCAAGCGTGCCAAATAAATTATCAGGCCTGAACGATACGGAATCCGATGACGATACGCCAGACATCATATATATCATATATAAAAAAGACATGTAACGAACTAAAAACGTTACAGCAGAAAACACTGAGTGTCTACGGGTAGTTCTGAGTGTCTACAGGTAGGTCGCCCGATAATTTCATTTTTCTTTTTTATAATAATTTATATTAAAACAGCATTATATGTCACTTTTTCAAAAATGTCCTTCTAATCCTCCAATTTAATAGCTGTTAGCAAAAAGTGCACACACAATTTTCTTTAAATTTAGTCTCAACCAGAATCTTCTCCATTCATCTCTTCCAACTTCAAGTGTATCTTTCAACACGTAACATTTTCGCTAAATCTTATACCGTCATAATTTTAATCTAGATTTTAGGGCCACTTTTCAAGTATTGTGTCATTAGACAGAATACTATTCGGAAGCTCCTAATGATATCTTGTCCTAAAATTATATTATCCCACTCCATTTCGCAAAGTTGTGTTGCCAACTAAATTATCATCTGAGTTATCTCCTCTCCGAAAGGTATTTCTACTTCTAAAAGTTCCCACAATACAACTGTCTTGCCTTGCGATATTGTAAGTTAAATTATAGTGAGCCAGGTAAAAAAGCAAAATAAATAAATGCCTTTATTTTCAAAAAATTTTACATTTTGTAGACAAAGGTAAACTAAACAAACGAAGTAAACAAATAAGGTAAACAAACAAACAAAAGAGAGAATAGAATACAAAACATTATACAAATAATAACATTGTCAGTCTTATTGTTTAAAATAAACATTTATAAATGTTTACAATGTCAAGGAATAAAAGAATAAAAATAATATTCAAAAATATTTAGTTAGTTTATAGTAAATATCAGTGACCTCCAAATAAATTTATTTCGATGTCATTGGTAAATATAGCAATAGCAAACATTAGACCAGTGTTTACAAGATCAAATTCGGTTATCAAAATATAAGTCATTTACGGCATAGAAAGCCTTGTCTAGTAAATAAGAGTTCAATGCTTTGCGAAATGAAGAAAATGATGTTATGGATTTGATTTCAGATGGCAGGTGCATTTTTTGGAGTTGTATATTATTGAACTTTTAACTAACTCTGAGCGTGGGGTAAGTAGATAAAGATCTTGCTCCGCGTTCCTGAGTGGATAAGTGTGAGATGGCCTTTCTTGAGAAGCTGACACATAAATTTGGAAGGAAGAGTTAATATTATAAAAGGAAGGAAGAGTTAATATTTTTAATTTTTTAAAAAAAGTCCTGGCAATGAGATCTGCTGTTTAGTCCCAGTGAATATCGAACTCTTCTGGAGCTTGAAAATGCGTAACAGCAACACGTACCCCAGAATGGAAGGGCATACCTGAGGTGCGACTCAAAAACTGCATAATAAACAGTTCTAGTCACTGACAAGTTAAGCTCCTTAGAAACAGATCTTAATGCAAAACAGGCAGAGCTTAATTTTTTCGACAAAGCTCCGATATGCATGTCCCATTTCAGGAGAATTGTCTACAACAAGCCCTAAGAATTTTACAGATTTTACGACGTCAATGGTGGTTTTGTTAAGTACAAAAGGCTGCAGCGAGTTTTTATACGACAAAGCTTTAGTTTAAGAAATGTTGAGATTCAGGAGGTTCGAATTGCACCAAGATTTAATGGTGATTAAGTCATTTGGTATAATCCTATGAAGTGCCGTGGCGTCCTTGTTGCTCCAAGTAAAACTAGTGTCGTCCGCAAAAAGACATATTTTACCACTGATGTTTATGTTAGCAATGTCGTTAATAAAAAGAAGAAACAAAATAGGGCCTAGTACTGAGCCTTGTGGTACTCCACATTCTATTGGCTTGCTAGAAGACAACGTGGTATCCACCCTCATAAGTTGAATTCTGTTGCTCAGATACGACTTAAATCATTCGAGAGATGTTCCCCTGATCCCATAGTGCTGCAGTTTATTAATTAGAATCTTATGATTATGCCATTTACATGTTTGTCGCTCGACAGAGTATGATATCTGACTGTTACAGTATTTCAATGAGTCAAGTAAAATATAAACTCCTTTAGGCAATGGTTTTTTAGAGACAATGAAAATAAAAAGGATGGCTATTAACAAGGGTGTTACCAAGTGTGCATAAGGAGGAGCTGCCTCCTCTAGATATTCAATAATATGATATTTTCTGGGGTCGTTTTTGAGAAGTAATTTGATATCCAACCTATAAATTTGAACCTATAAATAGGTTCTGCGAAACAAGCTGGAGTGAGAAAAATAAAACATCAGAGTCTCTAATGTATATTTTCTTATTATATTAGAAGCCTTAGATATCTTATCTCGTAAAGGAAATAGAGCGACTCAAATAAATGCCTTTCAATCCCAGCAGTCAGAATTTCGATTATTCTTCACATTATCTTGATGAAAAATTATCCAGAAACTTGGTTTTTTGGAACATGTTAACGTTATACACTCTATGGCTTTGCACATGGTCAAGGCCTTGGAACAACATTTTCAATTACTTAAGGGCCACTGAGACAATCCGGAAAAAACCCATATAAGGTAATATTAGGAAGGTAATGTTATAATATGGTACATAAATATGTATTAGGAGTGGTTTTAAATTATATAAAAATTACTGCATAATTAGCAGGAGAAAATATTTCCTTCTATTACTCTGTTTCTAATTAGTAATGATAGTTGTATTAGTAGCAATTACTTTATATTAGGATAAATCAGATAATTTTTAGCGAGTTACATCTAGTAACCTAAACGTCAGAAAAGCAGAAGTCAGAATTGTGCTTCACTCAAGCCCACTTCTTTTCTAGTAAAAACATGTACAGACGAACAACAATAAATTTAAATGTATATTCTCTTTGGAACGCCATATATCATTAAAAATTTCATGAATTTAATTTTATTTTATGAATGAATTAAAATTCTTCTTCGTTCTAAGCCACAACAGTATATTATATCTCCGGATAGTGTATTATAAAAATGTTCCCTTGTATACCTTAATAATACGTATGAAAACAACAGACCCGAGTTTTTTATTACTGTTTTCTTAATTTTTGTACTCTTTGTTTATCTAAATTTGTATTATACCAATTAGGTAAAAACTGTGATTTACCAAGAACATTAAAAAATTATTCGTGAAGAAAAAATGCAGCAACTTCCATATAACACCTGCAATTACAGCAAATAAGAAGGTTCACAAATCAACGTAAAAATTATTCATATCCTTATCATAGGCGTGGAAATATTTAAAAAATTGAAGCTGTAATAAAACAAAAATTGAAAGATTTGTTACAGTATCAATATAGTTAAGTTCTTCAAAAGTCTTGTACGTCGATCTTTAAAAACAATTTTGTAAAATATTAAGTCTTTTTATTAAATAATTTTTCAAAAACAAGTTCAAAATATAGTTTTTCTTGCAAAAAATCATTAAAAAACGCAAAGATAAAACCAAGTTAACTTTAACGGAAATATGGTACATCCTGGTGAGCTGTTTCTATGTAAATGAGTCCATGTGCTGTACGTGTTTTATTTTATGAAATATATGTGTGACGCCTATGAATTGTAACCCCAAGTAATTTATAAAAAGCCGTAATAAGGAGGTTTTTTCTTCAAATGACTGTTTTCATATCTAATGAGTTTAGAATGTATTTAAGTCGAAATATCTGATTCGTCACTGCATAAAGTTTGAGACCGTTTTGCAAACATGGCCTACGAAAAACGATTGTTTAAGACAAGTAAATATATGCTTGCAATCAGTGGTCTTTGGTCACACGACATCGAAAATCGTAAGATGTTTAAGTCCCTCTACAACATTTATTCCATCATCACTCAAACAGTGTATTCTTCGTGCATTATATCGTTTGCTGTCGCATTCTACTTGGAACGCAACCAGAAAATCACAGAAGGTAATCCAGCATTTACTGTATTATTTTTTTAAAACAATATTAAATAGAAAAACTTAACAAAATATTCTCAGATTATAAGTGGAGGTTGGAACATTAGGTATTACAGAAAAATTAAACACTAATTCACCACAATACACCAAAACACTTTACTTTTAGTAGCTGTTTCGGACGCCTGTTTCACTTTCCGTGTTAGCATTATCAGCAGATGATTAATGCTGTGTTTTAATTAAAAAAGTTTTAATAATTTGCTGATGATGTCCCTAACATGGTTAGCAAATCCCGCGTCCAGTGTTTAAAAGTTAAGCGTTTCGGTGTATTGTAGTGAATTAGGGGTTTATTTTTCAAAATAACTAAGTGTATTATTGTTTAACAATTGAAGGGTTTGACGCCAAAACCGGTCATATCTGTTTTTTTTTCGAAAATCACGTTTTCAATTACAATTTAATTATACTTGGGACGTTAAACCATTTGAAATAAAAATGGGACAGTTTTTTATTTGTATTTTTTTAATTTACTAATGAAATAAATCATATTGTTTGCCATACAATCAGTTTTGTTATCTATACTAATATATAAAATCCTTAAGTGACTGACATACTGATTAATCACGATGCTGCTCAAACCACTCAACGTAAGAAGCTCAATTTTGGCATACAGGTTGATTCTAGGGTGTAGAGGTTCGATAAGAAGGGATTTTTCTAAATTCCAGTTCCAAGAGGGTGAAACCATTCCTCAAATATTTCAATATTTTTTATTTAAAAAACGGCCAAGTTTCCGAAAAAACGCTTAAACACGTATATTTTATTTTGTTTTTTTACATATTTTAAGATTTTTTAAAAATGTATGCAGGGTGTTTCGAAAAATCTAGTCATTAATTAATCACGATCCTGCTTAAAGCGCTTGACGTAAAAAGCTGATTTTTGGAAAACAAATTGACTTTAGGGTATATTTGTATAGGTTCGATAAGAAGGGATTTTTCGAAACTCGAATTCTAAGGGGGTGAAACTATCCCTCAAATTTTAAAATATTTTTTATTTGAAAACCGGTGAGTATTTCAGAAAAACTCTTAAACACGTATATTTTATTTTGTTGTTTTACATATTTTAAGATTTTTTATAAATTTATTCAGGGTGTTTCATGAAATATGACCATTGAGTAATGACGATTCTGCTTAAACTGCTTGACGTTTAAAGCTGATTTTTGGCAAACGGATTGACTGTGGGGTGTAGAGGTACGGAGGGAGGTGTTTCAATAGGGAGGTTAAGGAGGGGTTTCTCGAATCTCAAATTCCAAGAGGGTGAAAACGCCCCTCAAATATTACAATATTTGTTATTTAAAAAAAGGTTAGTCTTTCGGGAAAACGCTTGGACAAGCATAATTTATTTGGTTTTTTTACATATTTTAAATTTTTCAAAAAAATCATACAGGGTGTTCAAAAAAGTTGGGTAATTTCTTAACCACGATTCTGCTTAAACTGCTTGACGTAAAAAACTTATTTTTGGCAAACGGATTTTTCGAAAGTCAAATTCCAACGAGATGTAACTACCCCTCAAATATTACCAAGTTATAAAAAATGTCTATATCTATGTGGCGGATTCATCTATCCAAAAAAATCCTTTATGGGTATTTCGCCACTGCACTGCTAGAAAAGTCTACAAAATAAAATAGTTATTTTTTGTAAACACTTCTGCGTTAAACCTAAACGGACGCTTCTTGTCAGAAGTTGTGTTTACAGTAATAAAAATTTGCCTAACAAAGAAAAAAAAAGCTTAACGTTTCGGAAAGTTTTCTCTTTCCGTCGTCGTCCGTCGTCGCAACCATAAAGGATTTTTTTGGATATTACCAAGTTATATAATAATATCGCCATATTGTTTTTTCTCATGCTGACATAAATGTGAGAAAATTTTATCCAGTTTTTATGTTAATACATGTCTTGCTTCGCTTTATCATCACCATTACAAACGATTAATTCGACGCGAACGAAGTCGCTGGTACACGCTAGTAGTACTATATAATATTTTGTGTCAAAAAACAGACAGCTCTATATAAAAAATGCTCTTCAAATAAATACATATATGAGTATTTTGCCACTTACACTGTAATAGGAAAATCTACAAAATAAAATTGTTTTTAAACACTGCTGCGTTAATCCAACGGTGACCACACTTTTCAGCAGTTATCTACTTAACGCTTTGGAAGGTATATCTCTTCCCGGTCGTCGGAAACAAAAAAAACACAAAGAACAAAGAAAAACATTATTTAAAATATCTAAATACAACTATTCACAGACACTTTAGTTTTTTTTTCAACAGATACGTCTATAAAAACCGTTGACGTTCTGTTAAAATCACAATATAACAAGTTAAACTTAACAATTAACAATTATTACCTGCTAAAAATCAATAAGATAAAACCAAAATTGATTAAAATCAAACATAAATAAACAAAACATTAGTAAAATATTAAAAAACAAATAAAAAAATTAAACCGTTCTTGAATAGCAAATATTATAAATATTTTTTTTGTTCTTTGTATCTTTTTTGCTTCCGACGATGGAAAGAGATATACTTTCCGAAACGTTAAGCACTTTTTTGTTCGTTAGGCAAATTTGTTTATTAGTAAACTGCTGCCAAGTTGGTTTCCGTTGGATTAACTAAGGATTAACTATAGATAAAGGAAATAAATTTAGATTGGAATACCCGTCAAAATATGTGTATAATTGTTTTGGATCGCGTACGTTTTACGCTTTGAATAACTTGTCAGTGATTGGTCAGTGCCGTTCGAATTTTATTTAAAAAATGTAAAACTATGATTTAGGGTAGACGTGCGGTAGAATCAATATATTTTTTATTTATTTTACGTTGTGAATAAATATTGGTAGTTATTAAAATTGTTATAAAAATATAAAATTCTAATACAAATAGATAAGTTATAATAATTATTTATGACCATAAACAACCGATACGCTACTGAAGCAGGTAAGTCAAATTGACGTATCTAAATACTTTGAAATCTAATCTTTGACAAGTAGTAAATAAAAGCAAAAATGCAAGAAAAAATATATAATTAGTTAATTTAAGTGAATTTCATAAATGATCGGTTTACTACACGTATGTATATTATATAATCACTTACTAGCGAAAAGTTGTTTCATTATTTCACTCGATTTTTGCCGAGATCTACCGCACGCTACACAACCAACTATTTTAGAGTCTTTCTCTATAAATCGCGATAGTGTCCCTGTTAATTTAAGTTCTGCCACAATTTCCATCTAGATTTACTACCTTTATACAACTATCAGTAGTAGAATAGATAATAAATAACATAAAATAAGCTCCGTAAAGGCTGACAAATCCACAACATATCAAATCAAATTCAAATGTGTCAAATGAATCGTCAAACAGAACTGTCAAGGATTCCCACCCTAGAGTCCTTTTTCCGCCCACCATGCATGAATACATGGATAGCATTATGCTCCTTTCTTAGTCTTCTTATTCAAAGGTTTTACGCGATAATCTGACGCTGCCATAGCGGTTGCTAAGAATAGCCACAAACAAGAACAGAAATAATTTTCTCTTGTCAAAGTCAGAATCTTCAAAAATTATAAAATCTTTTAAAATTTAAACCGCCCGGCCCTCTTTGAAAAAATACCGAAAATTTTTTAGCTATCTTGTGAGTTTAATTTAGATTTTTGAGATTTTTTAGACCCGTGATAATTGTGAAAAAGTGACATTAAAAAAACTTAAAAAGCTGTGTATACTGTGAACTGCAAAAACTTAAATAAAATGTTAAATAAAATAAAGTTTCTTATATGCAACACACTGTATTTTATATATAAAATTCAAACAAAGTAATAATAAATTTGATATTTGGCCACATAATTCCGGAAAAAACTGAGCCGCTTCGAAATTATCAAAAGCTTTGGATCGCGACCGTTGTAAAAGTAGCGCCAAATAGTACTTACATTGATCTCATTGACACTTTCCCATCTAAACTTGTTTCATTTATCTATGGGATTAATGCAGTTAGGTGAGGTTAGGTTAGGTTGCTGGGGTATGGGATCATATTTGATCCCTCACTCCGAGGCCTTGGGCCCATTGCGATACCCCTGTATTGTTTTACCAAACCTTCCTCTCATTTTTTCTTTGCGTTAAAGCACTTCCAGCTCTTTGCAAAGTTCTCGATGTCGCTGATGTTGGCTTCTGCTGCTTCCTCTAGTCCCTCTAAAAAACCTTGCCCTAAAGTTTTAAAGCGTCGGTATTCCAGTGCTGGACAGTGGCACAACTGGTGGTTTCTTCTTCCTCTCCGCATTCTCTGCAGTAGTCGTCGTCGGAAACTTTCCATCTTACGAGGTTTACCCCCGTGGGACAGTTTCCAGTGACGACACCTACAATTATGCGTACTAGGTCCTTTTTGTGCTCTAGTAGTTGTTTTGTCTTTTTTCTATCTACCCCTGGCCATAGTCTTCGAGCTGTAGCGCAGTCCTCACGGTGTTGCCACATCTCTTGCTGCTTGGCTTTGATGGAAGTTCCTATAGCCTCCTTCAGTGTGTTGATCGTCACAAGTGGTGGGTCATCTGCCACGGCCTCTCCCCTGGCTCCGTCTTTGGCGAGTCTGTCTGCTTCCTGATTGCCCATCACATTGCTGTGGCCTGGCACCCAGCACAGAGTAGCCCCGCCCCGACGCAGCCAGGATGGTGCTTCTCGGCATTCCATCACAGTTTCCGATCTCACTGATTGCATGATGATGCTTCTTAAAGTGGCCAAGCTGTCAGAGTATATCACTATATCCCCTATTGTTCTATCAGCAATTTTCTCTCGTATACAACTAGCCGCTTCCTTTATGGCGTAAACCTTTGCTTGTAGAACATTACAGCCATCCGATAGGCTCAAAGATCGTCGGATGTCTAGTTTCTCTGAGAAGATGCCTATACCTGTGCCCCCTAAATTTGCGGAAGCATATGTGTAGACTGCTATCTCTTGAGTGTTCATTACTCGGGT